GTTTTATTTTTCCACATGACAGGAAAAAGGTCATCCTACATAAACCGGTATCGCAGGCCGTTGAGCCAGGGACTTATTCGCCCAGATCAATAGGCACAATTCCTTCGGTTTCCAGTGAATGAATTTGGTTCAAACGAAATGGGTGGTAGAACGATAATTGGAAGCTATTAGTATATCTGGGCTATGAACTAGAGGTTAAAGCATGCCTTAAACTAATTTAAACGAAAGAAATTCAACTAGCAGTCGTCGCATCTTCATAAACACCTCATGCAGCTCAGGTTCTTACTAAAAATCTAGTGAATGTAGAGCTAATGATCTAGATTTTGGCTCCAACTGATCAGGTATTGAGAATGCTTGACTATGTGGTTACTACAAGAGTACAGCTTGTATAAAGAAAAGTTGGTCTGCAAGGTATCCATTAACAATTTGATTAGATTTGAGTTTTCATCTCGAGTAAAAGTTTGTTGCAAGGGATTTGTGAAGTAAAGGATTGACTTGAAGCAAAGACTCTTGAAGTATGTTCACAAGCCCTCGGCTCATCGTCATGCATAACGGACATCTCCATAGCGGAAACCATATTTTATATTCTAATGCTGTCATGTGTCAACTTTGTAGAATTGTACGTTGGTAGGGAAACAAGTGGGAACATATCCACATCCTTTTAAGGCATCCTTGTAATGAGAATATTAACCGTTTCGTCGACTTTTATTGACTCCTTAACCTTAATAGCGCAAAACATTTGGCTCTGGACCACCCTTTCTGGTGTCATGCATTAACCAATTGTTTGGCCACATCATAATTTCAGATCCATTGAGCTTTCCTGGAGGTTCTGTATTCGGACAAACTTTTATGGATTATTCAGCAGTTCTCCCTCAAATAGACATTGCTATATGAACGCAAAACCATGACATCCTTATCTAGAAAAGGTCACCCAACATCCTCGTAAGTGGGGCACTTGCCAATTTTCCTTTATAGATTCTTCTGACGCGCCTCTTTTTCGGTAGTTCACGTAAATTTTTAGAAAGTTGACTAGACAGCAACAGCATTAACTAGGTAGAGGTTTATTTCCTAAATAACATTTTCCCCCGATTCTGTGTATTATCAATAAAAATTTATTGTCTATTAATCTGTTTTAAAATAGTTTTTAGCTAAACTATACCTCAATCTTCTTATTTCTCGGTTCTGT